GGTAGTTGTTAGGGGGTGGAGCGATTAGTCGGGGGTGGGGTGTTGGGGGTGGGAAGGACACAGTTAGCGTGAAATCCCACTTATGGAACTTGTTTTCCTTACTCCCATCAGGTGGCTTCCATGATTTTAAGGAACTTGTTTTCCAGAACATTTTGACCAACCAAACATGAGAAATTTGGAAAACATTTTCCAACTCCATAACAATCACACTCTTGTATAGAACTTGTTTTGCCTAATTTTGGCATCACACCAGCTAACCCATATTTCAGTCAGGATTTGTCCTTAGTTTGTGTTTTATTCAAACAGATATGTTATTCTAGTTTCCTTATACATCCGAACTAGAAGAGTAAAGAGTTTTATGCTCCTTTTTTTGGCCATCAGGAAAATGGATGCTTGTTCATCCCGACTTTCTTTCGTTTCCATTGCTCTATGTTCGAGAACCATGCCAACTACAACTGTAACAATTTCAGGATGTCTGGTCTTGAAATTACAACATACTCTTGGAGGAGATCAGTTTCTATAAAAGCAGAATCCTACTATTTGGTTATTAGTTTATGTCTTCCCCTGTAAATTACAATCTAATATGTGGAAAATGGTGCTTTTAATGAGCGATGGGATAGTATCTATTGAGAATAAGTTATTATGGATCATATGTTTTGCTACGTATAATGCTTGATGCATATTTGACTTCTCGAAAAACGAACAGGATCTAGGAGAAAAGAACACTGACATTTCTGCTTACTTCTTTTACCCAGAAACATTCTAGTTGATCTCTTTTAAGGTAAATCAACTTAATTTCTGCAAACTGGATCCATGAGCTGTAAACTAAATTCTCTTTGGAAATAATAAACTAAAATCCTTTTTATTTTTTGTTCCTTTTTGCCTTTCTATGTTCACTTTGTGTCATGCTAGTAATTTTATATATCTGTAGTGTGCTTTCTGATTCATTAATTTTTTATTTATTTTCTGCGTTGCTACAATTTCCTGAACCAGGAAACCTGAGACAGCACTGGTTGCTGAACTGGATGGTACTGTTCATTTACGGGAGGTTAAAACTGAGAAAACACTCTGGTCATTCAGATCTGGCCCATCAATCTACTCTTCATATCAGGCTCCTATAAACTATAATGACAACAGGGAGGCATCATCTGATATAGGAAGTGGTTATTTCATTGACTGCCGTGGGGATGATTGGGAATTGTATGCACACAACAGGCTTGGCAAATTGGTATACGAGTCTTTTCATTATTCTACATGGATTACTCTTGCAATTTTGGTGCTATATAACAAGAGATGATATCCACTTAACATTGAATGATAATGAGACATGATGCATCAATTAATGTAGTACTACCTCCGGTCCATTTTCAATGTCATTTTAGCCAAACAAAATTTGGTCCGAAATAAGTGTTGCTTTAGGAAACCAAGAAGGCATTAACTTCTTTTCCAAATCTATCCTTGTTTAAATGATCTATAAAAGTTTCTAAAACGTTGAACAGTTATTATTCATTTTGAGGAGAGAAAGATGGTAATTTAGTCAAATAACCCTTAATGGTCTTCTTAGTGAGTGTGCCAAAACCTTAATGATAATTAAAATGGACCGGAGGTACTATTAACAACTAGACCTTGATCTAGACTAACAAAGTGAAATGTACATTTCCTTAGTTTGAAACGTATTCTAAACTCCCCTTTTTATCATCATGAAGGTGTTAATTTTGAGCATAATTTGACCAATATACCCTCATATCTACATATTGGTTGATTGAGGACAATTTTGGAATTGATTTAGCTACCTAAAATGTGTATAAAAGAAATATATGTGTGAAAAAGGAAGGAAAAAAGAAGAAAAGGAATGGCGACTGAGGGGCTGGTATTTGTATATTGGGTTTGAACTGGGGACCTAGAAGAGGAAAGGAAAGAGGCAATGGTGCTTGGCTCTTTTTTTTTTTTTTGGGGGGGGGGGGGG